GCCTGCTGCGGGGCCCCGGCAGCGGCAGCGGCGACCACGGCCAGGCGTGCGCCTCGGCCTCTCGCCGCGAGCCAGGGGGGGGTCCAGCAGGAGACTGCCACCTCAGCGGGGGAGACAACGGATCAAGCAGGAGAGCAACACTGCACTCACGCGTCCTCTGCTGGACTTTTAGCACGGTGCCAACTGTCACGCCGCCTGCTTGCGTGGGTTCGCCGTGTGCCAAGGGGGGGAAAAGCCACCCGGACCTGACAATGGACGTTTTTTTTTAGACGGCCCTGGGCGTTTACTACATAGCCTTGCCTTGTTCGATTCCTTCCTTGATTGCGTTTACTGAACGGCTTCGCTTGTCGGGGTGATTATTCTGGTGGGGGATGTTCTGCCCTCTACTGTGGCGCGCTCTCCCCCGCGCTCCCTCTGCTCTCTGCTCCGCTCGCATGGGGCCCCAGTGCGCGCGCCGCTGCTTGTATACCTCCGCGCCCATGCGTGTTCGCCGGGGTGTCCTGTCCTCTCGTTCCAGGCGAGGCGAGGCTGCGCTGTTTGTAGCCATTCCTCCACTTTCGCCCCGTCCGTCCTCCGCTGCTGCTCTGCTCGGTATGATGCCTCGTCCTTGCTTGCTTGCTTCCCCTTCGTTCCGTGTCGTGCCCCTTCCGTTCAGTCTTTCTTGTTTTGATATCTTGGCGTCCTGATTATCCCATCCCTCCCGCTTACCGTCCGGTGACATCTCTGCTTACTCTCCCTCCTTCGTTGGCGTTTGTGCTCCCGGCGATGTCTCGTGTGACGTGTTCAGTCTCATGCCTGGGGAGCAGCAAGTGCAGTGGGATTGGTGGAAAGTTATGGATCCGTATGGGGCGTTCCAGAAGAGACTCCAGCTTCGAGAGATCGAGTTGCCATCTCTTCCTCGTCGGAAGGCGGTGGAAGGCCGCGGATGTAAAACGAAAGCCGCTCCGCCTGCGGAAGGTGCCGGCAGCGAAAGATGCGCCCCCGAGAGATGGCAACAGTTGTGGGCCCCGCGTCTCCAGAAGCCGCCATGTGCGAGGGGTGCAGGGACTGCGCACGAGAGGTCGACTCGGGTGACCCCACCCCCCCGTCGGCACCCAGGAGTTACCCGCATCCACGGGTCAGGGCGTGCCCCACGGGGGACCTGACGGGGCGCTGGGCGCGGTAGCTGTGTCCGCCGCCCCCGGGGAGCGGGAAGGTGCCCATGTCCGTCTCCTCCTCCTCCTCCTCCTCCTCCTCCTCCTCCTCCTCCTCCTCCTCCTCCTCCTCCTCCTCCTCCTCCTCCTCCTCCTCCTCCTCCTCCAGCCGTTTTGACCCCGATTGCTTGCGCGCCGAGAGGGCGTGGCGGGCCTTCAGGACCACCGACCATCTCCACGTGATTTCGGCTGGGCTCCGAGGTCCCGAGTTCGGGACGCAAGAGCACAAAGAGCCGGGAGAAAACTACTATGCCGAAAGGCAAACGAGGACGGGACAAACGCAAAGCCCATGAAGTGGGAGAGAACGACCCCTGGCCGCCCCTTCCCATGGCTCCTGGACCCGTCCGTTCCTGGGGTCCCGCGCCATGGCAGACGGCGGCACCGTGGTGGGGCCAAGTCCCGCCGCCTCCATCGCCTGCGGGGGGGCGCCCCATGCGTACTGGGCCGCAGCCGCCGCAGCCGTCTCAGGACTCCAACGTCAAGTGTACGGCATGCACGCGGTGGGCGTGGGTCAATAAGCTTGGGATGTACCAGAACACATGCCTGTGCGGGGCGCCCTTCGGCAACCAGCCGCCGCCTGATGCTGGGGGCGGTGCCGCCGAGGGCAAGGGCAAGGGTAAGGGCAAGGGCAGTCGTGCTGAGCCGACCCTGGTGGCCCAGCTCACGGCGATGATCGCTCAGCGGCCATCTTCGGCCCAGGCGAAGGCTGCCCACGCGCTGCTGGAGGCGACCCGCGAGGAGACCAAGAAGCAGGAGGCCACCGTCCCCGCGACGCAGCAGGTCACGGCGGCGGCGGCAAAGGTGCAGAGGTGCCAGACCGCCTTCGACAAGGCGCAGGCCGCTAAGCTCAAGCTGACGTTGGAGCTGGAGAAGGCTGGCGCGACGCTTGTGGGGGCGGCGGCGAACCTGGCGCAGGCTGAGCGGGAGCGGGTTCAGCTCTTCCGAACCCTGGTGCCGCCCGACGAGCCTGTGGTGAATCCGAGCACTACCATCGATTTGTCGGCCTTGTTATCTGATCAGGTTGTGGAGGATTCGGCCATCACCATCAACCTGGGCGCTGAGTTCTCGAATGAGGATGGGGCCCTGGACGCGAGTGTGGCCGAGGAGATCGACAAACGCAAGAAGGCGGTGTTGGCAGCTCTCGCGCACACTCCAAGGGCTTCCTTCAGCGAGGCTCAGGGGAAGCTCAAGGAACATCGTGAGAAGCTCTCGGAGGTGCGGGCGACCATCTCCAAGAAGCGGCGCCAGGGCTCTCCAGGACCACAGCAGGCCCAGGCGCCTGCGGCGGGAGACGCCGCGGCGAGCGCGGCGGGGCCTGCGGGCGGAGCGGCCGCGGCGCCCACGGCGGCTACTGGGGCTGCGGGTCCAGGTGTTGCTCCAGGCGCAGGCGGCGGCGGCGGCGAAGGGAACGACGCGGTTGCGGGCGCGGTGGTGCCTGGGGCGGCGACGGAGTCAGGAAGTGCGCCATCAACGGACTCGGTTGGGGCGTTGAGGATCGAGGCCATCAAATCCAAGCTAGAGGAGGAGGCGACGGAGATGCTGGCGTCTGCAAGGGCGGCGGCGGCGTCTGCGCCGTCGAGCCTTTAGCCTCCACCAGACCCTCGGCTCAGGCGGGACCAATGGTGGTCGAGGGGCATACCCGCCTACGTCATGCAGTTCGGCCCCTACATGTTCATTGTTTTCAATATCGGTGACGGCTGCCTTGTCGGGGTTCAGTTCGAGCGGCCGCCCACGCGGTGGGCCGTCGCTGGACGTCGACCCCTCCCGAGCTGAGAAGGGTGAGACTGTTTCCCAAGTGACCTCCCATGTCGGCAGGGTTGGCGCCCCCCTACCGCTTGGGGATGGCCTGGGGAATGGAACCCCTGGGGCTCAGGAGGAGCGAGTGCGCGTCCCACGCTCTTCGCAGACGGTTACTTCTTCTTCCTCGATTGTGCCGTGGGCGACGGCTTCTTTGTCGAGTGTCGCCCCCCCCCCCCCCCCCCCCCCCCCCCCCCCCCACCCCCCACCACCACCACCACACACACACACACACACACACACACACACACACACACACACACACACACACACCACACACACACACACACACACCACCACCACCACCACACCACCACCACCACCACCACCACCACCACCACCACCACCACCACCACCACCACCACCACCACCACCACCACCCCACCACCACCACCACCACCACACACACCCCAACCCACCCCCCCCCCCCCACCCCACCCCACCCCCCCCCCACACACCCACCCACCCCCACCCCACCCCACCCCCACCCCACTGGCGCTCGATGCAGCTCGTGGAAAACGCTTGCCAGGACGGAGTGCTGATGGGGCCGCTGGTTCCAGGCGCTCAGTATATATGCGTAATTTGGGAGGCTGGGGACCTGCGACACGCTCGGTTTGTAGGGCAAGGAGGGCGGACGTGCTCATCTTCCCCGAGACCCATGCGCCGCCGCCCAGCTCTCAGGATCTTCTTCATGATTGGCGAAAGGCAGGATACACGGGCGCCCTGTCGGCCGCGTACGAGGCGAAGGGCAAGGCCAGGGCTGGGGGCATCACCATGGGGGCGCTGAAGAAGTACCACACCCAGTCTCTTCGGCATCTTGCCTCGTCTCCTCACGACCTAGTGGGCGTTCGGGACTTGGACGGCACTCGTGACCAGCCTGCCATCGACTTGCAGGATATGGTGGCGATGGCCATGCGGGCGCAGGGTCAGGCCTCGTTGTTGGTTGGAGTTTACATGACGGCATCAGTTGGACCCAAGGCCAACGCAACGAAGTTGGCTAACCTGGGCACGTTGGTCTCCACGATCCAGGGCCCCTGGCTCGCAATTTGAGATTGGAATATGACGCCCCAGGGGCTCACCTCGACGGGGTGGTTGGCGCCGGCCAAGGGTTCCATTGTCATCCCCAGCAACACTGAGCACACTTGTACCATAGGGCGAGGCCGCATGCTGGACTACGTCGTGGCCTCGCCCATGGCGCTGGCATGGATTGCGGGGCTCAAGGCGGATGTCATGGCTATCGAGGGCGCGGGCAAGGCGCGCTACGGGCTGGAGCTCTCGCTGGACTTCGAGGCGACCAGGGCGCAGGCCTGGCCCCTACACCTGCCCCGTGCCTTTTCCGCGCCCACCTCGGCCCAAGGCCAGAGCGAACCTCACGAGCAAGAGGTCCAGAGCAAAAGGCCGAGGCGGTGGAGTGGAAGGCCTCGCGCCCTCAGCCAGACATCACGCCATCGCCCTTGAAGTGGGGGCCCAGGCGCAAGTTATCCATCAAGAGCCCCCCCCCCCCCCCTCTGCCGCATGCCTTGTGGGGGGAGGATGAGGACGATTGCTTCGCCGACGACGAGGACGCGGATGTTCCAGAGGACGAGGTTGAGCAGGTGGCCACCTCCCAGTCGGAACCCGACCTCGATACTTTTGCTTCTTTGCAGGGCGATTGGAACGACGACATGAAGAATCTTCTGCGGCGGCAGGTGGCGCCCTCCAGCTCTTCGGTCGTTGTTCCTGACTTTGCATCCGACTCTCTGGCGTTCCGCGCAGCGGACGTTCAGGCGGAGGCCTTGGGAGCCGTGTTCGCCAAGTGGGTCAGCACCATGGAGTTGCATTACGTTGAGCTGCATAAGATGGACCCGCTGGCTCGCAAGCAATACCTCGGTCGAGCACAGATTCGCGAGCTCCGTCTTGGCGAGTACAAGGGGGCCAAGCCCTACGTGACCACATCGGACCCCAGCTCGAAGTGGTGGGCTTCGGTGGCTAACCTATTGGGCGAGTTGGTGGGCCAGCTGGATAAGTTTTAGATGCCCCGCGCGCGTCACCTTCGGAGCCTTCCTAAGGAGCTGGCAGGGGCGACCCCTTCCTCGCAGCTCGTGCCGCTCCCAACCCGTCGTCGTGATCGTTGGGTTCGAGGCCTCCGATGCTTGGACAAGGCCACGCCCGAGTCCATCAGGAAGTTCGCAGACGGTACCAGGGCTGCTTCTGACCAAGCGCAGCGCGCCGTCGCTCGTCAGCGACATCAGGCTTGTCGGGATGGGGTTCGCCAACAAGCCGCTCTTGGATGCGGAGGTCTTCCTCGTCATGTTCGCGACACCACGGCGGGGGTCAGCGAGCTCAGGATCGACGGCCAGACCTCGTGGGACGCAGCTTCGGCGACGGAGGCCAAGGCTCGCGTCTGGGGCAAGCTGTGGACGCCATCGGACTACGACGACAAGGCTGCCCTGCGCGTGTTGGACCAGGCTCGGCGCCTGGTTCTGGATGACCTGCTGGAGCCTCTCACCCTGGACCAACTGGAGGAAGCGCTTCGGCATATCCCTCCTCGCAAGGCGTGTGGCATCGAGTCGGCGGGGCAGCGAGACGCTCGGTGGCTGCCTGAGGCGGGCCGCACGGCATTGCTTTCCGTGCGTCACGCTATCGAATCGTTGGTGGCGCGGCCGCGGCAATGGCTGCCTGCATTCATTGTCTTGCTGCGCAAACCTGATGTGCGCAAGGATCGCGCCATCGGATTGCTCACATGGCTTGGTCGCCTGTGGAGTCGCATGAGGTCTCGACCCGCGGAGATGCGGGCTGCGGCCCGCTCTGGTCCTTGGGGCGCCGCGGTTCAAGGCAACAGCGTTTTGCGGGAGGCCCTGCTCAGATGTTTTGCAGACGAGGCGGCTTTGTCGTCGCTTCTTCCAGATTTTTGTTCTGCCTCGATACGTTGGGATGTGGAGGCTTTCTATGATACTATTCGGTGGGAGCGGGTTGCCGCCCATGCCATCAATTTGGAACTTGGACTTTCCGTCGCACCCCTTGGCCCTTGAGGCTATCCTCCACATGGGGCCCTGGTCGTTGCGGGACGAGGGGTGCAACGCCCCGCCGGTCCTTCCTCACGGGGGCCTCGCGGCGGGTGCTCGCAGGGCCCCGGATTTTTCTAAATGCCAGATGTTTCAAATTTGCGAGCAGGCGCGTGCCAGTAGTTCTTTGGTGCCCCTTCGCACGTGGATCGGTGATGCCACGCAGCGTGCTGAGGGTCTCAAGCGTGATGTAATTCGGGAACTGGTCCATGCTGGTTCGGTTTTTGTTGCTGGATGCGCTGGGGAGCGGCTTAAGTTTGCCAGTGAATCCACCATCGTGGCGTCGGAGCTGTCGGTGGCGCGTGCAATCCAAGCTGAGCTAGGATCGAAAGGCATCCAGGTCGAAGTGGCCTCGGTTGTAGCCGATCTTGGCATCGAGCGAGGGAGTGGAGTGTCTGGGGCCAAGCCTCGTCATTCCAAGCGCCTGGGTTAAGCCCATCGCAGGGCCTTCCGAATTAATAAGCTGGCTTCAGTGGCTCCTCGTCAGATCGGGGCGCGCTTGATCCTCACTGTGGTTTTGCCGCAGGCTTCCTGCGCCTGGAAGGTTTTTGGGGTCGCGCCCTCGGCGCTTCAAAGTTGGCGGCGGGCCCTGGCCAGATCGTTTGCTCGAGGCAGTGCGGGTAGGTGTTTGACATCGCTTCTGGCTGTCGAGGTTCGAAGAAAGGACCCTGTTTTTTTTCGATTGTGTTTCAGCTGCTCGACTCGTGGTTTCAGGTCGTTGCGCCCTTGCCTGGAAAGAGCGCGGCTCGCATGCACACGCGTTGGGAGGACACGGTCGCGCGCGCATCAGCTCTGGGGCCTTCCCGTCGGTGGCATAATATCAAGGGGCCTGTCTCAGCGGTTGTGGCGACGATGACGGCCCTGGGATGGAAGCTCGATGGGCCCTGGTCTTGGGTGGCTCCTGGGGGGGATGTCTTCGCTGTTCCCGATGAGCTCCGACCCCAGGCTTATACGACGTCTGATTTCAAAGAAGAGGTCGCCCGCAGCATTGACAACCGTCTGTGGAAGGCTGCCGCCGCTTACAGAAACGGGAGTGGGGTCGAAGACGGTGTTGATTTGACGGTGGCGTGGAGGCACCTTGCTTCCTTGCGTCGCAAGTCCGTCCAGAAATGGGGCCTTCTGCGCGCTGTTCTCACGGGGGGTGTTTTGACCCGCTCTCGCATCCTTGCGCGTGGGGGTGCGACCGAAGAGCTCTGTCCCATATGCGGCACTGGCCCTGAGACGGACATCCATCGCTTGTGGGAGTGTCCGCGCAATGAACTTTTTCAGGAAATTGACCAGGCTTTCGCCAGGAAGGCCGCGTTCGTGGCTGCCGAAATGCCACGTTTCTGGCTCCGCGGCCTCGTGCCCCGCTCTTGGACCGAGGTGCCTCCTCCTCCCGAATTCCCGCTCTCTGTCGCCTCGGGTGCGTTTCCGCGCTGCGCCGAGGGAACTCGCACCTGGGGCGCTGGAGATGCGAGCGGGGG